ACTTTAAAGTCGACATGTCGAGTTTAATCTCGTCATGGCAAAAATATTTTTTCTTTTCATGTGTGGCCCTAATACTCCGTCGTACATTTATATGTTTGTAGGGCTTTTTGAATTAGCTGTGAAATCATGGCGTTTTTACTCCCCTTGGCCACCTGAGATAATGCTCCATTTCAGCTTTGACTTTCAGATACTTTCAGAATTTGATGTAAGCCGAATAAAACAATGGATCAGACCCACACTGTTTAATGTGCTCTGTATGGAAATTATTATCTTGGAGTATTTTGAGACCTCAAGTATCAGTCTTGTTAATGACCATGTCCAGCCCTTCATGACTGCTTCCAACAGTCATTTCCTGCAGAATAACGCACCATGTCTTATACTCAGGAAAAGTCAAATTGATTTCTTCAAGATTAAAATGAGTTAAGTGCCCTTCAATGGCCCCCACAGTCACCAGATCTGAATCCAATAGAGTGGCTCTGGATGTGGTGGAACATGAGATTTGCATCATGGACGCGCAGCAGTGAAATCTGCAGTGTGTAAAGCTGATGTGTCAATAATACACATCAGTAGCAAGAACTGAAGGCATGTTTCCATCACCTTGTTGAATCCAGGCCATAAAGACACACTGAGTCAAATCTTTGTAAAGCACATGAGTCCTGACAGGTCAGGTCATGATGATATCAGGATATCAGCCAAAGTGTTGAAAGGGTTCCTACACGTCTTTGTAACAGAGCACCCTGTGGAGGTTTCCACTCGCACATCTCCCCATCCTCTGAGGCAGAGGCTGCATGAAATAGGAACCTGGGTTAATGGCGCAGCGTGTTTCTGTCTGTCATCTCCTCTGGCTGATGTTTCATACATGTTCATCGTTTTCTGTCGACTGAACCCGGCTCTAAAGCTTTGTATCACATTATAGAGGAAAACGATGAGGTTCAATTAGTTGAGACTTCAGGGAATCTTTCCTTTGTTAACCAGCAATGACATTTACTGCCAGCCAATAGCCACTGTTTTTATTGCTTTTTTTTATTGTGAGACTTGAAAGCAAACATAACTTCATTTAATTGCCTATCAAATAACTGCAGGATTTGTTTGCCATTTATCTTCATGATCTGCTGTTGATTTATCCCAAAATGACCTCATTTCTTCTTGTCATTGGTTTTAAGAATATGTTTTAATTACAATTTACCTTTACCAAAATGAATTTCATATAGACAGATCAAGTTACAAAGGTTTGTGAAACAAAACATTTTAGTCCCCACCTTTAAACTTTGTCAAAGAGAAGACATTCCTCCACAGAGAAACTTCATTTCTTTTTTCCCAGATTAAAGTTTATTTAGTTTCTTTGGACTAAACGCATGTCATCCACCACAGGGGGAAGGAATTCAATACCGTTTTTGTTCTGAGAAAATAGATGCAACAACAGTCCACTAGACAAACCAGTCCCTGATTTTCAAATTGTATTCTTACAAGCAGGGACAGATTTCGGAAATTTGGGGCCCTAACCAAAGACAGGCAGGGGGCCCTCTGAATTGAGAAGACAAGACATAAAACAGACCCATTATACAGATACAGACATGTTAATAGAATAGACATACGTTATTTGTTCTAGGTTTTGTCCCTCTCTTCCTGTCCCTCTTCTTCTTGTATTCCTCTCTATGTTTTGTACTCAGCTGACTTTTCATGCTGTCTCAAAAGGAATGAAAGATTTTTTCCAATCACTAAGCTCACTTAGCTGATTGCTCCTTCCTGTGTTTCCAAAAATGCAAAAGTAAATCACCCAGTCCTTCTTTTCTCTGTAGACCTGCCATGATCTGCTTATCTGTTCTCCATTTTTCATTTGGATGAAATAATAGCTGCATGAATCATGACAGCGGACAAGATAGAGGAGAGCAGGAGGCGGGGTTAACAATCTACTTGCTCTGGAGAGCAGAGTTCGCTGCTTTTAGATGTTTTCGCCAAAGTCTCCAGTGGCAGAAAAAAGTCTGTAGATTTGGCTCTGGGTTCTATTTTGAAATCAAAGTGCTAGAGGGGTCTGAAAAGTCACTAAAAATAGTGACTAAAGCGCTAAGTTGGCAACACTGCTCTCCCTGCCGGTTGTTTTCAAATAGTAAACAGAGTTTTATTGGGCCCCCCAGGAACGTAATGCCTAATGGTAAATCTGTCTCTCCTCACAAGGCAAATATTTTGCTGTTGAGTAGAAACAGAGTCTATATAGATGATACATGGGGGTTTATCATGTTTTATTTGAAAAAGATACCATCTCAGATGTCAATGTGAAAATCAGCGGGTTGGGGCCGATGGTTCCTCCAGAACTCTGCTCTCCAGAGCAAGTAGGACGGGACGCTGTCCTCTCCCAAACACTGACTGGTTTATTGAACTCAATATTTCTTTGAATATTATATTGATGATTGAGCTGTTCTCACAGCTCTGGTGATGGAGTCGTGGTGCCACTGCTCTGTACAGTGCACCTCTTTTCGCACACCTATCAGTTTCTGCTCTGTTAGCGAATTCAATGTTCCTTTCCCAGGCAACGACATGCAGACATTTTACACACAAAATTATTATCATTATTATTGATTATGACTCAAAAAGAGAAGATCAGACAGAGGAACAACAAATCTGAGTTAAAAACTTAGGTTTCCTCCTCATAGTTTAACTCTGAGTTTAAAACTTTCAAATAAAAAGATTGAAGTTGTTTGGATGAGGTATAAGAAAGGCAGAGCCACAGTGTGGCCAAGGTAGAGCCAAGGAGAAAGCACCTTTCTTACTACTACTACTAGAAAAGTAATAACTTGTTGACATCATGCTTGTGTTTCATGGAAGCAACAGAGATGGAGAGGTTGCCTCTTTAGACACCAAGTAGAAGTATTAAAGGAGTTAAACTCCTCCTTCCAGTTAAACTCCTCTCAGCCAGTAGGGGGCACATTTTTCTTCTATACTCTTTGCCAGCCGGTTTGTTTGTTGTTCTTCACTTGAACCCTAGTTGGGAAGAAGCTGGTCCTCAGCTCTATCATGAAGCCATAAGGTTCAACACCTTAACTTCTTCTCACCTGAGTTCATCTTGTTGTTCCTATTGGATCCTTTTATGTTGGCATGGTAACTAGGAGTAAATCTTTATATATTTTGAACCTGTCAAAATGTTATAAGACTATTAAAGTTGACTGTTTTTTTTTTTTCCAGTGGAATAAATAGTTTTATTCTACGACACTCTAGACGTTCTGTTATTTGATTATTTTGAGAATATTAATTATTTTGATGAAAAGGTTGCAGGAGTGATCTTTAAAGCACCAAGCGGCCGTACAGCAGAATCCACTGAATAAAGTTGGTCTCTAACTTTATAGCAAATAGA